GGGCAATGCAGTAAACATGGCATTTTGCGGACTGGCACATGATATGCTTTTGTCCAATCTGAAAACAGAAAATTGAACTTTGACACTAACTATATAACAACATGCATTGTTTGTTAGAAAGACTATACATATATACTCCAGAACATAAATACAAATTATTTATATATATACATATATTTCATCTTATCATATTACAGAGTGAACCAATATTATAACACAACATAATATATTATATACATTAAAATTTGGAAGATTATTGATCTTCAAGTGCTCTTTTCAAAATCTCTTGCAATTTTTCTAATTTTCGGGCTCGTATTTTAACTCCTAGTTCCTTCAGCTTTTGTTTAATTTCAAGAACTGAAAGACCATTGATATCTAAAACACTTGCTGGATTGTTAGCTTGCGATTCTGGACATGGGGTGTCAAACAACTTTCTTCGTTTGCTTCATAACTCTTTGATCTCAGTTGACCAGTATTCACCATTTCTCTTCATATATGGCCTTGGTTCTCGCTCATGTTGACTGGTGAACTACAGTCGCTTGCTAACAAGCAAAATATCTTTAGGTGCATCCCATTTGTTAGACTTTGTCAGGTGAAATTTTCTGACATCATCATTATTTTTCTCCACCCCTTTGTACATACAAAAAGAGAAAGTGCACATATAATTGATGTTAAACAACATGGTATAAGTGTGATTTGAAATTAGGATTACAATGCAATCATTATTACCTTGCCCTGTGAACTTTCGTATGCCATTATGTCTCAGCATAAAGTTTGGGACATGGTACACCAAGCAGTGCATATATGGTGTGACATGTTGTTTTCCAAATCCACTAACTTCGCCACCAAGAGAAACAAAAAGCTTACCCCATGCACTTGCCTAGTATAAAATAATGTAAATTTTGATTTTTAAAAAGAACTCAACTGTTGTACACTATATTGTTACACTGTGTTAAAAGCTATGGTAGACAATTTTATTAACCCTCAGTTTGTCTACCAACAATTCATTTGAGTTTTCATTGCTTTTTCTCAAAGGGATTCTTGGTAACAAAATCAGGGTTAATCAAAGAAAATGACAGGCTCTTGCAATACACATGATAGTAATTTGTATGGTACTAACCAGTTCAAAGAATTCTTCAATTCTATCAGGTGATGGATCACACTCATTCATCATTCGATAAATCTTGTAAAAGTCCTATAAATTAAGGAATTGTTCAGCGCTTACATATATTATAATAATATGTAAGCACTCAACAGTTGCGAGTTGGCTTTGCAATGCACTTTTTTGTTATTCGGCAACATATTTTTCGCAAGCATCCCAGCAGTCTTTGCCTAACGCCAGCCTCGTACCCAGGCGCTTTGAATTTCCACACCGTCGCGGAACGCGCGCTTGGAAATTGTGGATGTTGAATGGCGTACTTCACAGTGCAAGACGGAAAATAATGCTGTCCACACCATCTTCATCCAACTCACTATTTGATAATTGGCGTATAATATCGCGAAAAGCATTTTGAAACCTTGAAAATAAAGCGGTCGAGTTGCCGCCATCTTTGTTGGCGCTTTGGGTCATTTGCGCCTTTACGGGATTTGAATAACATTCAACATGACTTTCGATATGGTGTAAATTCATTCATTTCAATCACTCAAAAGTGAAAATGGAAAATATAGCCATTTCGTCTCTCCCAAATGAATTAGAAAAAAACAAATAATATAATAGGTCATATTATAGCTAACTAATATCTTTATGGTTTTGTGTACACAAACTAACAAACGTATCTCAAACCACGCCAAAACGATATTTTCCTAACAGCTAGGATTTTTAAAAACTTCCATAACATTGTAGTGTGCGGTATTAGCCGAAGCAAATACTATATCTATATTCTCTTTCAGATAATACCGTACAGTTTCCGGCCGAATTTCGATTGTTTGCAGGCCTGAGCCACCTAAGGATCAATAACCAGTGGAAAGACGATATAAATTTATACAATATATAAAAGTTTGAAAACACCTTATACAATTGAAGCGGAGAAAACATGCTATTCTTGACAGCTAGCGCGCTCTATACATTGGATAGTTGAAGAATACTTTTAATATCCTGCTGTGTGTTTTCACCCAGTGAAGGTCAGTGAACTCAGGGGGCGCCGGAGCCACGGGGGCAGCGGGGGCAAGTGCCCCCGTTGCCCAAACATTGCGGGGGCAGCACAGAGGCAACAGGTTGCCCTTTTTGCCTGAACTGCACCTCGAAATTTGTGCATTATTGAAAGGAATTGGAATTTAGAACTATTTTTAAGCAATGTTTAAAGAATGCTGATGCGGTACATTCCGTATGTAAACAAAGTCTTTGTTTACATTTCGGTATCCAAAATATAGAATTTTGTTCGACAACTATTTATATTTTCATGATTCTAGAATATAATAAATTATCAAGACACAACAATCAAGCCTTGCAAGAACATAAAATGAAATAAAAACCTAAATAAACTGTTTGTATAATTAAAAAGAGGGCTCCTTTGTTCATATACGCAGATCGGACTGTACACCACATTACCAGAAATATGGGACAAGATGGCGACGGACATGCGCACTTTGAACAAATATGGCGACCAAATATTACTATAAACTATACGGAAGTTGATCAAAATATCAAATTTTAATATACTTTGTTTAAATATTTCATGGTTGCGGAGCTCGATTATAGTAGCGACACGAACAAGCAATATTTCTAAACAAAAATCGCTGGTAATTGCACGCGTCTAGCTACTTCCCGAGAATGTTGTATTTTTACTCACTATTTGATGAATTTCATAGTGTAATTGTGACCCTCCTTGGGAAAACGTACGTTAACGATTTTGCATTAAAACGGGCAAAAAAACGGTTAACGAACGGATAGTAAACGTTTTGTCAAATCGTTTCAACGGATCATAAAAACGTTTTAGACGTTTTGAGTAAAAAATACGAACGGGGAAAGACAAAAAATTAAACGGCTCTACGAACGGCTTTAACAAACCGTTCAAACGAAATTAAGAAACCGTTCAAACGATATTCGGTAACCGTTTCAACGGATCTGCACAGAATGGTATAAAGCCAAGGGTGGGTAGTAGCGAAGTAGTTGTAGTTCGCTACTGTAGCGAACTACAATTTTCAAGTAGCCAGTAGTTTTTGACTACATTTTTAAAACAGTAGCTGTAGTTATAGCGAACTACATTTTGCCTAAAAGTAGCCAAGTAGTTGAATACTTTTCAAACAGCAAATCGCTATTCACTACTTTTTAAAATTGTTAACAACTTGACAGAATAGCATGATTTTAATACACGGTTTGCTTAAAATCGATACTCAATAGTCAATTTGCACTCCTGAACACTGTAGTGATTACAAAAATGTTGCTTTGTGTTTACTGTTACTACTCGTAAGTCGATTTGTTATAGGTTACATTACAGTCTGAGTTAGTATATAGATGCTCCAAATACAGTAAAACTAAAAAATATAGCGTAGGCGTAGCGAAATAGCGAAATAGTTCGCTACATTTTTTAAGCAGTAGCTGTAGTCAATAGCGAACTACCTTTGTTCAAAAGTAGCAGTAGTTGTAGCTGACTACATATTTTTGAAGTAGCTGTAGTTATATTGTATAAAGCAGTGAACAATAATATACAAAAACGGGCAAGTAGGCTATACACTGATCCAGAATTAACCAACACACATTTATCCCGAGCATGCGTATAAGCACAAACAAAATAGATCACTTTGGTGTTTATAAACGTTTCAAGTTTTATCGATTTCCGTACCAACAAATTAAAAGACGCTAAAGCCGGAGACACGCGGCGGTGTTTTTGCATAACACGACACAGCTGATATAGATGAGACTTAAACCCGTGACTTAAGTAAGGTCTCTACTGTAAACGCGACTATATACGCAATCAGTTATATTTATAAGGCCTAAAACTAAACGTATAGTAGCTACCTGTAGCTATACGAAACAAGAACTAGAACCATTATCTGTGTTGATGGAACCTGGCGCGAGTGCTATATTGTCTCAATTATAGTAAATGGCTCAGTATCAAAAATCGGGTGTCCATTATAGCGTATTGGTAATTTCCTCTATATTAATGCCTGTGAAACACGACATTGAGATCTAAAATGCTCAGTGCATGCTGAGTTAAATTATTGTTACTAATATTTTCCATAATTAATATATTAGTTAGCTCCGGAATATTAGGGAAAGATGCAGTCACAACGGATTTAATAGCGATAGGCTTATATCTGTTAAAGTAAAAGGTCAAGATGTAAAGGTATATAAACCAACTATAAACAGTTTGAACAGCAAATAAACACAGCATGCACGCAGCAATTAAGGTATATTGCAGAGTGCAGAAAGCAGAATAATGACGATATATTGGTATACTGAAATATTTGATGCTCTCCTTAAAATGTACTCCATAAACATGTACTTCCTTGAAATGCACAAAATCCTGTGAATTTAAAGTCATTATATCACGCTAACTCACTTATCATTCATGTAGTGCTACATACATGCACCAACAAAAAGACGCTCACATATCCTATGATTATAAGCACGAAGTATTTGGCTTCGTTAAAGTTCATTTTATAAGTAAGCCGATACCTTAATTTACATGTTATATATAATATATATTTGCTTGTAAATCTTTTATTCACCTAATTTCTTCCAAATATCGTGTGGTAGTTTATATAGTAGCTACATCTTTTTATATCAGCCTAATCAAGAAGACTTTATCGACCAATTCCCTATTAGCTATGTTTTGCGCAATCACAACATCGCTATTTAAAACGTCTTTATATAGCATAAACAACTATATATATAAGGCTGTTCCTGACTGGAACGTTTAGAAATTCCGCGCCTGAGATTTTGAAAATTTAATAGTATTGTAAATATAGAAAGTGTTAAAATTGCGCGGTCGATATCTCCGCCGCGCGATACAGACATTCCACACTGGACTGGCTGGTTTCCCCTATTTATTTTGGGAAATGCAAAAATAGCTTGGAACACCTTAATATACACAACCTTTCCTGGTGGTCTTCTATTTTATTTTATTTAAAGAAATCAGAAATAAATAATGATTATTGAATCGGCATAAGTAGTTGACCACCAGGACTACGCTAACCTTACGACGTCTTCTCACTTCTGATGTCGTCCGTTTTAGTAAAAGAATACATAATGTATCTTCGTCTTCCCAAGTAACGTATCTTCGTCTTCCCAAGTAACGTATCTTCGTCTTTTCAACTATCGAACTTACAGTCGCACGCAGGTATACACTCTATCTATTGGCGCAATTTGAAATTTGCAAGCTAATATTTCACTTGACATTGATGTCAACTTGCATATTATACATGTTAATTTAATTATGCTTTTGAGAGAGTTGAATTTCACGCAGCTGGAGTATTTTCCAATGACTGAAGAGACGTCAGCACTTCTGCGGCTTTCCGTCAAAGTAAGTTGAGTTATCAATGTATTTAATTTGCCGTCGGGCAACATGCACAGTTATTGAATCTACGAAGTAGATTATATGCTATCGACGTGTTAGTTGTTCACTGTTCACTTTTCAGTTACAAATCACGGCTTGGTCGCGAGACAATCCAATATGGTGGTAAAGAGGAGTTAAAATTTATGATTTATATTTATTCACACATTTAAATTTGATGACTTGTGGATGAAAATGGAGCGAAGGTAAATTAATCTTGGAACAACGTGTCTGTTTTGTAGTAGCGTGGTTGCTGTACACTTTTCAGCAATTTACGAAATAGTACGTATTGGTTTTCAAGGCGTCTACCTTGTGTCCTATTTGGAGTCATCTTGACACCTAATAAGCATTTGAATTAGCGAAATTTGGCAAAATATGAGGTACAGAATTATTTTAATAAAGTATAACAACCAGCGAAAAAGTAAGCCACTAAGGTTTCGAGTAAAGTTGACCCATTAAATGTTTTAAATGTAAGGTTTCGAGTAAAATTGACCCATTAAATGTTTTAAATGTTATGGGCCGTAACTCTCTACTCTCCAAGATGTTGTTGTTAGAATTTAGTAATGTAATACGATCCTTTAATATGATGTGTGCGCTCATGCCGAATATTCCACTTAATATAAACACAATAAAAGTGGAAGAGTATTAAACGTGATTCTTGTTCACGTTTAACTATATATTGTACTTATCCCGCCTCTGTTTCAACATATCATATACGAACAAGTGAAAATACTTTATTAGTTAATTGTTTTTTAATTAATGTGTTTCATAATATTTTGTTTCACGGAAGAACCATTGGCCTTATCAGTATAGGTTAGTGGGCAGGAGTCTCTATTATTATGGCGTGTATACGAATTCGTATAAGACACAGTTACTGTGGCGTTTTACTGCGATGGATTTGTTTAGTGTGCAACTGAGTATGGTCTTACAATTAGAAATAGAATTGTGAATATTTTAATTTGGAATAACCATTTTAGAGCAAATTACCGGTATTTCAATGACATGTTTATGCCAGCATATAATTGTTTTCTGATTATGTTCTAGTCTAGCTGGTGCTTGGTGGCCATTCACTTTTTAAAGTTGTCGATTGACCACTGGACACTGGCCAGGGTGGGCAACGATTTATTGCTATTCGTAGATTCATGTGCGTAGCTATTTTTATTCCTCTATCTGACTCGGCTTAATTAAAACGCCATGGATTTTATAATTTTCGTTTGTTCATGTGTAGCAAACTACTGGACTTTCTAGAAATGCCGTCCATGATGCGGCTACATAGGTAGTACACTATAGGTTGGAAATTTTATGTTATTTCGTTGTTGCTAATTAATGTATTATGCGAAAAATTAAGTCGAATCTTTGGCGGATAATGTGACATGATTTAGCAAATTTGTGCCGTGTCGAACTTAACTTAAGCCTGTTTTTCGAATTTCATCGCATGAATCGAATTTTTATTGCTAAAATTGAAAATAATTTATTAAAATTCTAATTATAATTCCAGTCTAGAGCTTATAAGATAAAAGATTCGCACGACAAATTTCGCTAGTGGAAAACAGACTTTAGTTATTCAAACTTTGCAAGAATTCAATTGATTTAGGGGTCGATCTACTGCCGCTTTCAATCGTTCTAGACTATTACATTCGGAGCGCAGCAAAATCCGCTTTCAAAACTGGCAAGCCAGGTATATTATTAATTAAGATCAATATTTATTACTGTGGACTACATTGAAACTGTTTTATGCTTGTTTTGATACAATTGTATGCGTAACATAACGACTTTCAGTTATTCGGCCAGAATAATAATTTTGTAACTTAAGCGAATTAGTTGACGCTAAGCTGACGCTATTCAACGACGGAAGCGGCAAGCTCGCGGATATATATTTTAAACCATCTTTTAACATTCGAGAACCTTTTGCTCAATTTATTGTTGCAATATTTCACCGCGACATTTTCGACGCTACTCTAATAAAATTGCAAGAATATTTAATATTGCGAAGGGTGGCGAACTCCTATATTAACTGCTGTCCGTAACACTAATACCTTAATAGTGTTTTTTGTAAATCCTACAAGACAAAGCGGTTTCAGATAAACACCTACAAAGCCAGCTTAAACAATGTGAATATATTCTGTAAGGAATTTAAACGGCTTCGTGAACGTATTTGAACGTTTTGAGCCAAACGTTGAAACGATTTAGCAACATCTTTCAAACGTTTTTCTCCAACCGTTTGAACGGTTCAGCCAGACGTTTGAACGATCTCAAAAATCGTTTCAACGGAACGCTAAAGCGTTTAAACGGATAACGAACGGATAACGAACGATTTTTCAGAACGTTTTTCAAAACCGTTAACGTACGTTTTCCCAAGGAGGGTCACAATTTATAGTAAATTTGTGACACAAGAGGTAAATATCCGACGAATAGACCAACATCCATTCGGACGATGCAAAGTGCGGAGCTCGCGATATATTTAATGATGTCCAAACTGTTAGTTAAGCTAAATAAATCCGCTGTAATTTCCAGGGAAACTAGTTGCCGAAACGTTTGAAAGTTCACCTTTTTACGGTTCTTGTATGTCGCCATTAGGCCATCTTAATATCCGAACACGACAAGTTTTAATGCAAATTTGAGCTGTTTCGAGCAGCCATGTTTCTTGTTTATTTTGAATGACTAGATCCAGGCTCTCTCACGTAAAAACACAGGGATATTTTAGGATTTTTTAGGATATTTGCAATATTTTTAGTCTTGATAAAAATTTGCGGGGTTAAAGGTCAAAATACCGGAAGTGCTAAGCAAAAATTGCAAAATATAGCTTAAAATCACAGTTTTTGGTTGAATAATACTTGAACTGGAGATTCAAAGTTAAATGCGAAGTCGTTTTACTTATATTAAGCAATGTTGGGCATATAAAATGGACTTAGCCGCTGACTACAAAAAGCGGGAGCAAAATGTCCCATATTTCTGGTAATGATCTTTAAGAAATCTTTGCTTAAATTAATTTTTAACCAGTTGTAGTAAAATTAATGCTAAATCAAGCAATTTTCGTCTGTTTACTGATTTTATTTTGCGCCTTTAGCACCGTGTAACGAATAGCTAAAAATCGATCAACATTTCGAAGTTTGCGATCCATAATAGCCAGAAGTAATCGAGCATCCACACAGTAAAGTTTTAACAAATATTGCTGCCAAGGAAAATGATGGCTGAGCAGCAAGTGCCCTTTTGAAATGGCTGCATGACCCCGCCGCTTCATACTGCTTCCGGCGCCCCTGACTGTGAACTATTTTCATTTGTCTCTCCGCCATCTTGGTGTTTCTGTACACGTGTAGCACGTCACATGTGTTTACAATTTGAACCAATCGGGCAAAGACTGCTGGGATGCTTGCGAAAAATATGTTGCCGAATGACAAAGTCTGTTGCCGAATGACAAAGTCTATTGCCGAATGACAAAGCCTATACCAAAATGCTATCAACATGAGAGCTAATTTCATATGCCGAATGATATCTTTCCAAACAACTCAGATTACTGAATATTGACACTGAAAATGCACCATATCATAGTTCCATGTCAAGGTGGGTTTGTCGGTAATTGCTTTGTGATTGAAGATGGTGAAAACAATTAATTTTTATTTAAAAAATAAAAAATTCCTTGCAGCACGAAAAAACTGGTGCAAGCGTTGATGATGAAAATGGACATTTTTTATCATGGCCCTATTTGAACATTTTACATAAAACGAATTAAATTTAATCCGTGTTTACCTACACCCTCATTCAAAAGTACTTCCTGTTTGATGCAGTGTCCCTAAGAGGAAAATACAATTTTTTATAAAGGTCGTGTCAGTTAGTGCATTCAAATCTACTCAGTATGACCATTATACAATACTGCTATTAACTATAACTGTACAGTCTCCATCTTGGAACGCTATTTATAATTGCAAATGCTCGAATTTATAGGTGGCTTCTCGATTCTTTCGTTAGTGATTTAGGCCTAGATTGATTTTGTTCTAACGTTTTGCTATCTGTATGCCCGTGTATCTATTTTTGTGTGTTTGTTTAAGTGTGTTATTGTTGTTTTCCGCTATCAACTCTTTGCATGTGCTATACACTATATATAATAATTGTAATTAGACTGTATGTCGAATACTAGTGAACACTTGACTCTTTTGTTTTATATTATATTATATACGGCAGTTTACCTTGTCGGGTGTAAACCTGTTGTAACCGTGCCTCATTATATGCTCATATCTTTTTTCAAACATTGCACAATTAATAGACAAGTTTAGCTTGCATGCATGCAATTAGACGCAAACCGACCTTTTGAGTTCACGTGTATAATAACAAATTCTAGTCGCTACCATACAGTATAGTACTAGCTAAACAAAGCATATGTTATGACACATGAACTGAAGTGGCAATTTGCTTCTAATTAACATGGAAGCTAAATAATTTGTCTATGAAAGCTTAAAAATAAATAGATAAATGAATTGTTTTAATTAATTAAATTAAATTAAATTATATCGCTTTCTATGTTCAGTTTCTTCAAGTAAATGCTTGTCGTACCTTAACTGGCGTCGGATCTCCTGCTATCAACTTATAGGATTCAAGCTGATCATTGTCGCCCTGACTTTGAAATTCCATACATTTTCTCCATACTCTTTTCGGTAGCGTGGAACGCCCCCAAAACCATACGTAAACGTTTTTTGAAAGTGTTCCACCGTTAATCGCTTGACATTTCTCAGTACAGTAGTCCTTCGTACCAGCAATTGGCCCATAACAAGCACAACACTATACATGAAGTTTGTTAAAAGCTAAAAGTTAGAAATATCAAGCAGAATTGTCATGAACACTCGTAAAAGGATCTATATCTTTTCTTTCATTACGAAATCAATGTATAACGTATTTTCGTATTTTGTTCAAGCCTTGGTCACATCCAATGAACGCAGTTGCATTATATGATGTACCTGCAGAGACTGGTCTATTAACACTGTAGCTGAAAATTAAATAGAAATATTGTAAATTGAAGTTACAGTACTATATAGGCCTACGTCAATATTATACTGCATCATGATTAAAAGTTTAAATAAGATTAACGAAATTATGGCGACTATTCACTATTGAAAGAAAACATAGAGATAAGCCAATTTTATTTCAGATCTGGAGCTTTAAGGGTACATCCTATAAATATCGATGGTAAACTTAGTAATTAAATATTTAGCTAAACGTGTCTGATGTGCTTATTACACTGAATGCACAGTACACTCTTACCTGAATGCTCCGTAATAGTCAATTTGGATTGGAAGATCCCTGAGAAATGCAAATCCTTGAGTACATGGTTTTTGTAAACATGAGTTCATGCTTTCCTGAAGAAAAAAATGCAAATTTATACTTCTATGCAACATTCCAAACTGAATGAAAGACGAATAAAAAACAAAAATTAAAGCTTAATTAAAAACATACATGCATGCCATCAATTTGCCACCAAATACACATGGTTGCTTTCATTTGATTGGCTTAATGCGAATTTAGAAAGGCCGTTTTTCAGGCGAATTCAGATTCATACCCCAAATCGCAGATTTCTTAACGTGTTCTATAGGATCTAATATAATATCTCAGCGTGCATGACTGCCAGATAATACAGTTTTCCAATGTATGGTTAAGGTTATTGTTCTTAAAATAAAGAAGTTACTACAAAGAACTACATGGGAAGAGGTTAAGGTTTCTTAAACGTTTCGAGTGAAGGTCCTTTGCAATTGGCTGGAAGTCAAAAAGCGTCACTAATTTCCAGAAGAATGGCTTTCGCTTTCGTTTTCTTTGCTTTTGATAGTTCCAACCAATATGGAACAGTTTTTGCAGACAGAAGTCTGTCGGTTAAAGTAATTGATTCCTTAACTAATTTGTCAGATACGTTTCCCATACAAAAAATTCAAATAAAATAATTAACAGATATAGCTCCTTAAATATGTAAAGCAAAATCTAAAAAATACTTATTTCACGGACCCATTTCTATTTTGAAGTCATTAATACACACCCAGCCGAATTTGGTTCCAACATGGTAAGCGATACCAAATTTAGAACAACGGAAGTTCCTCGTGACAATCTTCTCAGCCTTTAGATCTTTTACATACGCAATATCTCCAATGCCAGGTGAATTTTGGTCACATCCTTTCTCTCCCATTAACATTAGGTTCTTCAAAGGGCGAACAGTGTTCAGTCTAAATGACCTAAAGTTATTAAGAAGTTTCCTTGAATGCATGCCACAAACTCAGAACCAAACCTAAATCAGAATTTAAGATATTTTCAAACTGTTACCAGGAAGACTTCCCGAAATGTTGGATACGTTTAAGCTAAAAAGACGTATAGAAATCTTAATGTCGCTGAAATCGTTGAAATACATGACGAAATAATTGGGGGGGGGGCAATGTTCATATATTCGTGTTGTTCCTTATTAATTTCTTTTGAAATCAATTGTTTTTAAGGTCTGTGAACACGAATATCATGAATATTGCCCCCCCCCCCCAATTATCAAGTTGGCTACGCCACTGTTTTCGATTGTGACAAAACCATGCATGGAGACTGCGTCAAAACGAATACATTTTTAACATATAAACAGTCTATATTGTAGTAAGTGAGAACTTTACTAGAGAAGTTAGAATATGATGCCAAGGAATATTAATGTGCACAAAGTGTTTTAAAATTTTAAATGTAATGTGCACAAATCATGCAATTAACTCAGGTTCGATATATATATATATATATATATATATATATATATATATATA